GCTTCCATTGGCAATTATTGCTAATTGTTTGCTAGCGATCATCTCCTGTTGAATTTGGCTCCAGAGACAGAGCTATAACCGGTTTTGTGCGCATGATTTGCTTGCTATTTATCATTAATTATAGTATTTGTTTATGAGAACAAGATTTGGGCTAGATTAAGTCCTGTGTAAACTAAACATTTCAGTTTGCTTGCTTCAGTTTCCCGTAGCTAAAAGTGATGGTGACAAATTATGCAGAGTTAGATAAAAACTGAAAAAGAATGTTACATTTTAACTTAAAAAAGCCAAGAAATTTTAATTTCATGGCGATAAAAAATATTCTGTAAGCGATGTGACCTTACTTTTATAAATTGCAGCCCTCGGATATGGCCTGACAGCTAGTGGATGATGTCCAATGGTAGGGCACAAAAGTCTAAAAGTATAAAGCGAGGCACCTGCTTTCACAATGGTGTACTGTAGTTAAATTTATTAGTATCATAGCCTCTCTACAGGATATTTATGAAATCCTTCTGTAACTTTAAGGCTAACAATACGGGGCATATCTAAGTTAAAGATATACTGTTAACTCCATACTTCAATAAAATATTCTATTACATATTACTTTCCTCACTTCGTTCCTATTTTATATCTTATTCCTAACTAGACTATCACAAAATGAAAGCTAATGATAAATAAGAGGGATTGGAAAGTAAAATACGAGTTTAAAAGTTATCTTTCGTATTCTGAAAGGTCCATATTTCTGCAGTAATTAACAAAATTTATCTCTCATTTTGAAAGATACATTTGATGTTATGAAAGTTTTCCAAAATAACTTGCAAAAATTTCCCGAAATAATCCACAAAATAAATCTGTCATTTAACTCGATAAGCCACGGAAGATCTTTTCATTTGTGTCCGCTTGATCATGAACTGTTTAGCCCTCTAGTAGTCTTACTGTAAACCTGCGTGGGTTAAAGTACAGTTTGATAGCGAAATAGGTCATGGTCTCAGTGCTTGTTAAAATTTTTTCACTCATGATCCCTCTTTATCACCGATATTTTTTCACCACCCTAGATGTTAAATAGAGAACCAAAATATAAAAATAAATATTTTCCCACAAATAATTTTTTGGTGAACAATATAAATATGAAAAGAAGTTACTAGATTTGTTTCAAGTCAGGCTTCCCTAACCACTATATCGTCTGGGCGGTAGTTTGTTTCAACTATACAAAAGCTGATGAAAGAAAATCACGTTTTTATGAGGTGTGCTTGTTTTTTGCTGCGTAGCATGTTAAATTTCTTTGTGCAGTATTTGAGATTGCTGGAAGTAAAGTAGTATCTTCAACGTGTTTCAGTGTTGAATGGCATATGGATTCAATGAGCGTTAAAGATGAAAAAAAAATCGCGTTACATACTAAAAATGTGATGCTGAACGGCAGAACATCTAATGCTATTTCAGAAATACTAGCAAATCCATTCTCCTCCTTCTTCTAGCTCCGATCAAGAGTTCAGTCAGGGACTTTTGTGGAAACTCAAGGTTTTAAGTTTAAATCACTTGATAGCTCAACAAATTCCTTTTGGTCTTTATATGGCAGGTGATTAATTTCATCAATGATAATTAATTTAATTTCTTTAAAAGACTCGTTAATGGAATTTCTTTTAATGTCATGGCAATCAATGTAATTTCTTTAAATGTCTCAGTAATGTAATTTTGTTTTTAATCCTTGTATGAGAATTAAATTTTCGCTTTGCATAACATTTCGCTTTGCGACCGCATTGGGGATCGCAACCCATAATTTAAAAAACGCTGGTCTAACTTCTAATATTCTCTTCCAAACTCTACTTTCACCTCCTGTAGGAGCAGATAAGACCATTAAAAGCTGATAGTTTGACCCTGTTGTGGTTGTTGCAGCACTCCAGGTTATCTCCCCAAAATTTCATGGTTTTCTCTTCCTTCGTTTAATTTCAATGTGAATCTGTTTTTCTTCAAAAAGTTTTCAGAAAAACATCCAAATAGGGACAGATAACTGTTAGGTTTTTTGCGATAGTAATTTACCAACTTACGCTAAAAATTAGTAAAAGAAAGGCAACAGAAGTTTATGCATTTTTTAAATCTTACCCCTCAAAAAATATAGAAATATAACTTTTAATTCTTCAGATATCTGTAAATATGTTTGAACAGTTATGAGTTAAATGTAAAATAGTAGTTAAAAACCTTCTACTTTAGGACTTCAGGAGACTTTATCGGGGAAAATCATGAATTCTGCGTTAATCATTTAAGTCATATTTATATATTCAGTTTTCTTTACTTCTTTAATTATAAAGTAAGCCTTCTTTCGATGAAAAATTTTAAATTCATTGTAAATGAACAGCTCACATAAAATGAGAAGCCGTAACTTTATTTAGTTAGAGGTTACTGTTATTTTTATTGCAAAACTTAATTATGAAATACAGCCAAAATTTCCTGAGAGACCTATCACAGTTCCAGGCAAGATTTCCTACGGATATAGTGGCCTTTGGCGAGATAATGTTCGATACTTCGTGTATTCACATGGATCATCCAAAGGACAAACTATTATTTAAAAAAGTTTTTTTTTATAATGAATTACCTGGCAACCCGCAAAAGCAGCGATCACTCTTTTTTCATTATTATTTTACATTTATTCTCAAAGCTGTGACAAAACATAAATTTCAAATGTAGTTTAGTTAAAACTTAGTTCTTAGCCAAACTTGGTTCTCAGTGAAAGAAAATGACTGATTTGCTAAGTTTTAAAGAAGTAAGATAGTTGATATATAATTTGTTGATGTATCTGTAATCTCAGTCATAAAATTACTGAGGATATCGAGAGGTACTGCAACTAAAATCAACAGCATATTAATTTTTCCCGTAAAACAACATTCGAGAAACAGGCTTGTAAAGATCAGACGAGAACCGGTACTTTCAGCATGGTATGGCCGTTGACAAGGATTGTAAGGAGGAAAACAAAACTTGCTGACAGAACCAGAAGGGCACTGAAAAGTATTATTACATCAAAAAGAAACACTACTGCAAAAAGATAACTGCTGACTAAATATGCATCTACGGAATCCATTTTCGAGGTATATGGGAACCACATAAGCAGAGTTCTTACGGAAGATCTGCTATCCGAAAACCTTTCATTTTACAAATAAATGCAAATAGAGAATACAGAGTTGTCAGAAATAAAAACCATCGATAATTATGCAACTAACAGAAAGACCAGAAACAAAAAGCAGATCGTTGATAAAGCCAGTAGTTTTGTTTTTCCGGTCTATTATTGTCGCTTGAGCACAGCCATCTCATTCGTCCCTTTCTCATCTCATTCGTCAAACCTCGAAACTAGTCCTGCAAATTTATGTACCTGATGCTCATTTTTGTTGCTTCAGTATCTTCAACATTTGTTCTTAGGAGTTAGTTTTAGTTAATATAGGAAATAAGTACTATTCTGTTTCTAGCAAAAGCCTTCGATCCAGACTTTCTGAATCTTACAGTAGAACATGGTGGTGGTTCAATTATTCTTAAACAGTTATATTGGGATTTTCAATAAGTTTATTTATAACTTTATAAGAATTAATGAATACCTTTGACTATACAACCATATTAAGCGACCATGTTTATTCAGTGGCACAGACAATGTTTCCTGCAAATAGCACCATCTTTCAAGATGTAATACTCCCATTCACCGAAGTCAAACTGCTCAGCCGTAGCTTGACGAACATGAAGTTACACATCTTCCCTTGCCTGCATAACCACCAGACATAAATGTCATTGAACCAGCGTAATCTATGTTGGAAAATAAGGTGCGATCCCAATTTTCTCTCCCAATCATCTCTCGAAGAACTGGAGCAATTTCTGATAGAAGAATGGTTTAGCATATCTAAATTACTAGTACTCAGAACTTTTATGTCTCCATTCCAAACGCCATATTATTAGTACGTACACAGTTTCTCATATGTTTAGGTGTTTGCATTATTTCAGACAAGCCCTGTATGTTCTCAGAAATACCACTCACTTTTAGAGGTGGTCTTCTTAAGAAGGTGGGTTCGCTATGTAAAGCTCAACTGTATACGAGTATAATGTTTGGCATATAGCTAAACATACATTGGCACTTCATGCAGTCCTCTGGAGCTGAAGATCGAGTCTGTAAACGGGTCTTAGAAGTGATAACGTCTGCAGTATATCAAATGTTACTAAAAGCACAGCAGAATTATAAATTTCTCAGTAGCATATAAAGGACCAGAAGCTTCAGATATGTACTAGGAAAAAGTTCCTATATTACATCTGGTAGAAAATGAGAATAGCCCCACACAAAGCGTCGCCTATCGTAGAACAAAGAAACTTTCCCTTAGTCATTAAATGTTAATAACGACCTATTTTAATTTCAATAGCATAACAATAAAAAGAAAAATACGTGCTAGTATCTATGTGCAGCATTTATCCGTACGTCCGTCTGTCTTGTACTAAGCCAAGTTTGTAGTAAAATGTTGCTCTTTTGTTTCAGCGGGTCTATTTTAACAACCCATTTGTAGTAGTTTAAACTATTCTCTCACCTACTCTTCATTTCCGTTGAGCGGCCGAGCGGTAAAGTCGCTGAACACTGGTAGTTCGGGTCCGAGATTCTAATCCCGCGAACGGGCTGGCTGCATGGGTGTTTTTGTGGTTTTCCCTACGTTCCTTAGAAAGTCCTCCACGAAGGCATCCCTTCCTTTAGGCAGATAGCCCTCGAGGCTTTGCCGTAATCACACACACACACACACTCATTTCCGTTGACATAGGATCACGAAGGCTCCGCCAATGGCCGAGCAGTTAAAGACTGCTGAATACTGATAGTTTTACCCCCAGGCGAACCAACTGGATGCATGTTTGATTTCCGTGGTTTTCCCCGTGTGTTAATGGGAAAATTATGCAACAATAATGACAAGAGGCCCTTATAATTTTTAATATGCGTGATGCATTTCGCATATTATCAGAGTTGCTTGTTACCACAGAAATTTAATACTTACGAACACGCAGGTTTGCAGAATTTGTGGCATTCTCTTGATCTGTGATTTCTGTTGAATCTTCTAAGAAAATTTGTTCTGCACATAGCTGAAATTTAAAAATGAGCATTTTTGTATTCAATGATTTATACACAGAAGTTCATATAACATATAATAAAATGCAAAAGAGATATTGACGAAGATCTGAAAAACTTAATCAATATGTATCATTATTCACTTTTAAATAGAGATTATATATTCCATTATGCGATCTCTTATAAATGTAGCACAATTTTCTCCTTTTTTTGCGTGATAATTTCTCATATCTGAATATTTTAATATTATAAAGTTAAAAAAAATTCATGTCTGTTTCTAAAATTTTGAAGTTTTTTAGCTGAAAATATTTTGCCAGGTGATTGAAGGTTTTAGAGTATTAGCCGGTACTCGGATGCCAACAAAACCACTGTGATTCTGCTCTCCTTAGAGCATTACTCTAGAAACTCACACAGGATTCTGCTTTTCTGAGAAGGTTAAGGCATATTTAAAAGCTGTTGACAACGTAGGGTCGCAGGGTACCAGACAGTACACAAGTACCGGTTTTTGAAGTGGTTAATTTTTTTTAAGTAGTTGCGGAAATATTCACTGTAACTGGAAGTGCCCATTTTTATTCTTACGCTGCTGTCTTTTTAAGCATTAACATATAAAAATTATAATTTTAATAATTATAGAGGTAGAAGTGTAAGACATAAAAATCGTAAAATAGTTTCAAACAATGTGCATATACAAATTCTTTTCCTAGTTAAAAAAATGTATAAAATTTATCATATAATTATTACTGCAGCGGAATTAATTTTATTTATCGATTTATTTATCTTAAATTTGACTTTTCTTGAAAGATATTTTGTAATTAAGTCTGAACTAAACTGATTTTAAATTCATCTTTTTAAATTGTGGTATGCAATTTGATTTGTTTTACTGATGAATTTGTCACACGAGGAAAGTTTTCATCTCTATTTGGATATTTCTAGGGCATGGTAAAATTCGTATGCGAGCGTTATTAAAAATATTTACTATATTTAAATAACTAGCAAACGTAATCAATATCAAATGTTTTCGTTTTTAATTTTCTAGCTATAATAATAAAGCGGTATGTAACTTTTGCATATGAATAAATACGATTCTTAAAGGTACAATATGTTTTCATTGTTCTATCATCTATTGAAGGCTAGGTAAAAGGTCAGAATCCTTTGCTATTTTTATGCATGAGAAAGAGTGAAAGTACACTGTAAATATACAATGTAACCTAAAATACATTTTATTATTTATACATTTCAGTTGGTGATATTTTTTCGTATGAAATTTGACTTAACAACTAAATTTTACTGTATTTGTGCAAGTAACAAAAGTTTTACACCTTCATTCAAATATCCTCCTACAGAGAGAAGAGGAAAATAAAAGGAGACGGAGAATACTAGTCCAAGTTTAGATCTTCAAAATTCAATTAATGCGTGCATATTATATATATGCACCTTAATTATTACTTCGTTTCTTTCAGATTTGATAATTTGAGAACGTACATGTTAAAAACTGTAATGTGTTCAAGTAGTATTCCAATAATATATCGCAAGTTTACAGGATAGATCTATCATGCCTTCCCTCATTCGACTAAACAAATAAGTCTTATAAACTATCAGGAAAGAATTGTTTAACGCTTGAATGTAATTTTTCAGTGTCCTTGGTTAAGGTTGCACGTCTTATAATTCGAATGTTAAAATTTTCGAAAGCATCTTTCTTAGAAAGAAATGTTATTTTACGTTTACTACCTTATATTTTACATGAAATAACATTTTATATTAAGACAGAATGAAACATTTTTTAAATTTTCTCCCGATATATTACTTTCAATAATTTAGTCCAAACTGCAACTGAAAGCTCGTTATAGATTTGTGCAGTGCCATAATAAGTCCGACCAGATTTCCATCAAGTAAGTACCCTAGCTGCTTTAATATTGGTTTACAAAAATTTGCTTTTACTTTTTTAATTTGTTCTTAAATTAAATTTAACAAATTTTTTTATTTAATTAAATTTTGCTTTTTAATTAAACTTTCTTTTTAACTTTTAAAATTTTTTTATTTAATTAAATTTTGCTTTTTTATTAAATTTTCTTTTTAACTTTTAAAAATTTGTTGTCTGTAAAAGTTACTAAAACCTGTTTTAAATTTAGGTATTCACTTTAACTTTTTATTTCATTACTGCAAGTAATTAAATTTTTTCCAGTGTTTTCAAATGAATATTATTGCGAATGATTTGAGACCAAATATACGAGTATGTGCTAACCTTAGTATTAAAATGCTAAATTTAGTATTATAATAAATGAAATGCATAAAATTAATGGTCTTGTGTAATCACAATTATAAATTCATTATAATGTAAATATTCAGCTAAAGTGAAAGGCTATATCAATAATATGGTCAGAATACCTTGCGTGATGTTGCACGGATCACAGAATCTGCTGTTGCCTTGCGTGACTTCTTCGGAGCAATCACATTGCTTTAGTAAATAAGCGTCTCTGCATAACGTCTGGCAGTACTAAAGGAGAAAGAAAAGTTTAACTTTTTATAAAGCAAGAAATAAGAACATAAAAAGGATGGATTAGTTAAATATGCACAGTAAAGCGTATTTTATTCTCTTAAGACAAAATTTAAGCAAAAATTCCGTATTAAAATTATCTGATGGATTAATTTTATGTAGAAGTGAAACAAATCTTAAAATTTTTCCCGAATCTAAATCTTAAAAGTTCTGAAATACTTAAAGTCTTGAGTCTGTCGAATCCTTCATATAAAGTCGAAAAGGGAGGGAAGGTATAAGTTTTTATTAATGTTAAAAGATTTTAACAAAAAATTTCAAATTTGCTTTTAATGAAACACAAATTTCAAAAATACATCAGTTTTCAAAAATACATCTAAATTTATTTAGAAAAAAGAAATGAAATTTAGTAAATGAAATAAATTATTAAAATTCTTGAATCCTGAGGATCGATTTCTCAATGTAATTTGACAAAACGTATTTGAGTAACAGTTCAGAATTTTTAACAATTTACTATTTAGGATTATTTTTAAACCAAAGCAAGTGTGATGGGGAGTGGGAATATTTCAAGAGTTAACATAGACATACAGTATACATGGAACTGAAGAAAATTAAGAGTGTGGCGCTCAAGTTAGGTTAGGGTAAGGAAGGATAAATTAGGTTATTCGAATACGGCAAAGCACACGAGAGCTACCTGCCTAGAAGAAGGGATGCCTTCGTGGTGGACTTTCTAAGAGTAACTGGCTCGTACTCATATTACACTTGGAGTAAACCATGAAAATTAATCGTGAATCCAGTTCGGTCGTCTGGTTTCGAAACCGGGTCAAACTACCAGTACTCAGCGATCTTAACCACTAGGGCCACTGGTAGGACCGAGGCACTCAGGACTGCTACAAATTGACACAGGTGATCCTAGTTCATTGAAATTACAACAGTCACATTCATTTTTTAATGAATGCTTCTATTGGGCGCCAATGAAACTAATCTTTCCAGACCCCACCCATCAACTCATATTATTTCAGGTAACTAAAGTATGAGAGGATGTAGTTTTGATAGCTCACCAGCAGACGAGCGGTGAAATCGCTTAACACTGATAGTTCGACTTGGGTTTAATTCCAATTGAACAAGCTGACTGTATGAACATTTTCGTGGTTTTAGCCCTGTATAACGTGGATACTACTCAATGCTCGCTTAGAAAGTCCTCCACGAAGGCATCCCTTCCCTTAAAGCAGATAACCCTCGCACGCTTGCTATAACTAAATAAACAAATCAAGGGTCTGAATTGCAGTTCGTCGGAAGTTGAATCACTGAAGCTATAGAGATTGGTTCCTTGTGATGTTCGAAATTTTCCCCATGCATAGCATATAAATACGAATCAGGTTCCCTTTAGAAAAATATATAAGAATACCTTTCCGTAAGCAAATAACTCGAATATTTATACAATAACTAATCAATCAGTAATTTGTTTGATTTGTGGTTGAAAACAGAATAATAATAAGGTCTCGTACAGTCCTTGATATCGGTAGAAAAGATATGCTTTTATTTTTCCTTTAAAATATTACAAAGGCGGATTCAAAATATTACATTAAATAATCTCTTAATTTCATTTGGTCATTTGTTTTTCATTTTTATTGCATGAATTACTTTACTTAAAATAACTAAACAAGAATATTCAAACAATATTTTTAAAAACTCAGGAATATATTTTGAATTGTCAGCTGTTAGGAAAAGAATTGTTTTCTTTCTAATAAGTAAAAGAGTACATTTTCAGCTAACTGTAAGTAAGTATTAATCATACTAAATAGTATATGAAAGAACATTTTGAATCAACATGTTGGTTATCTTTTTCTAGTTCAACGATCATAAGATTAAGAATGAAAAAACATAAAATATTTGAAAATGTCACTCTAGTTACTGCCAGGTATTATTAGTTCATTGTGAGATAATAGTTTTAATTCTGTCAATTGTTAATTAATGATAGAAAACATTTAATTCCTTTTATGACCTTGAATTAGAAGAGCATTTTAAGGATATTCTGTCTACAAAAATTCTAGAATCTTCAAGCGACCTCACCTGATGCATTTATCAATCAAGTATTTACCACATTACAAAAGCCCTTGAGCAACTAATTTTGTTTTCCTTATTTTAATGACAATGTTGAGTAATTAATCATTAAAATGAGTTGGAAAAAGAGTTTACATCTTTCTGCTGTTTAAAATCATCAACAGTTTTAGGGTAAAATTAAAAGCATATCTCTTCAGCGATATTAGCTGCTATGAAATACTGTATTACTGTTTTGTTTTCTACCACAATGGACTAAACACGTAAACTTAAACTTTAATATATTTTTACTTCGTGCTCTTCTGTCGCTATTTGTTTTACTAATAGGATGCTTTTATATACCACAAATATATTATCTCCGCTAAATCTTCTTTCGCAGTGCTTTTACTGTTAAACAACAGCACCTAGTTTACCTGCGAATGCAGACTAGATGTTCTACAAACACAGAATTCTATAAAAACAGAAATGAAGCAATTACAAAAGTATCCAAATTAAACTACGTCATATTAACTTTAGCAATTAATAGTAAATTATTAATTTGCTTTCTCTGTCTTTTCATTTAAACTATTGTCTCTGAGAATGTTTACCTAAAATATTTCCATTGGCTGAGTTATATCACAAGGCACTGGCTTTCACAAAACAACAGTATTTGAATTTGAATTTGAAAGTTAAAATAAATGGAAAGAAATCAAAATAATCTTTATAACCAAATATACACCATTTTTGCAAACTTCAAATGTCTTTAGAGTAATATAATTAGAGAAGCGAAAAATCCAAACTTCCCTCGAACCTCAATACAAAAAATTTTTGAATCGCTTGAATTTTTTTAATAAGAATATGAGAAGAAGAAGACTTGAGAAAAGAAAAAAAATTGCTCAGCATTAATAGTTATAAAATAGTAACTATTAATGCTGAGTTATAGTTACTATTTTATAACTATTAATGCTGAGTAATTTTAAATAATAAAGCAAAATCAAAATCTGGAATTTGTTAATTTGAAATTTAAGATACGGGTTGTTTTTTAAATCACAGCCTCATTTTTAGATAATCCAAAAGAAACTTACCAAATGATATGTGCATAATTAAAATTATTGAAGCTTAAAGTTCATTTTGTCAACAAAATAATAATACTTGAGTAACATTTCCTACGCTTACGTTTTTCCTGAATCCTTTCAAACAAAAGTAAGCATAAAGAGAATAGGGTTATATCAAGAGTTTACAGAAATAAACACTAAGCATCGATTAAAAATCCTGTACAGTAAATAAAGAGTACAACTTTCAGAGCCGCTAGGGGCTATTCCTATCTATGCGAATTATTTCTTTCATTGAACAGCATGATTAACTTAATTTTTTAAGAAAGCCTGAAACCCAACAATTTATATTAAATTAAAATATAAATACATACCTCGTAAGTATAAATTCTGTGCTTCAACAAATCACGTTGACCAGTTTTACTAAGATGAGATAGTAATGGAGAATGCTCGAACTCATCTGTGCATTCGCCATAAGGCCATGGCAGTCTATCAATCTTGCGCTAAATAAAAGAAGAAAAAAAAAACATTTTGTTTCTCTTTCTTTTCACGAAAATGATAAAACTAAAATTGTGTACTTTTAACATAATACAAAAGCAATTGCCAAGAGATGCAATACATTTAACTTCAGAAATTTCAAAAAGTATTGTTATTAGCATGTCTTATTAGTTACTATGATATCATTCAGTTTTTTTTTTTTTTTTTAATTCTCTAAAATGCATAATAACCGTTTTCGTAATTAAGTTTATGAAGCAGATTTTCTCGGTAGAATAAATATAAAGGTTAGGAAGGTCAGACTACGAAGGATAAGATTTGGTTTTGGTTTATTTGATTATTGAAAAGCCCTCAAAGACTATTTTCATTCTCTAAAATGCATAATAACCGTTTTCGTAATTAAGTTTATGAAGCAGATTTTCTCGGTAGAATAAATATAAAGGTTAGGAAAGTCAGACTACGAAGGATAAGATTTGGTTTTGGTTTATTTGATTATTGAAAAGCCCTCAAAGACTATCTGCCTAAAGTAAATGATGCCTTCGTGGAGGTCTTTCTAGGGAAAAATGGCTCATATAACAAGTTACACATGGGGGAAACCACAGAAACGCCCGTGCAAACAGTCTGTTCGTGGAATTCGAACCTCGGACCGAATTACCAATGTTCAGGGATTACCACTGGGTCATTTGGTGGGCCTACGAAGGATAAGGAACAGCAGAACTTCAGCATTTTGAAGTGAGATTCGGTCTTAAATCTAGAGCTCAAAATCTGGTTTTCAAATCGAAAGTCGCACAGAAACTGGAGTTATTTTAAATTTATATTTTCAGAAAGTTAAAACTATGGGCATATTTGAGGGGGTTTAGTTTTTTACTTATTTAATTATTTGTTCTTATCATTATTTATTGTTTTTAAGTTTTATTACGGGCTGCTACATTAGGCACTATACCTAAAGAGAGGGATGTCTCAAGGAGGACTTTCTAAGGAAAACTGGTTCGTATCCACTTTACACATGAGTGAAACCACAAAAATGACCAGCCAATTTGCCGGGACTCCAACCCCGGACCGAATTATCAGCGTTCAGCGGCTTCAACTGCTCGGCCGTTGGTAGAACTTGGAGGCATTTGGTGTACAAACGTTTGCTTACGAAGGTAACGAACGTACATCAGTATCACTGCGAGTAATAAAAATTGACTCGTTTAGAATTTAATTCTTAACGAGTATTAGTTATTAAAGATAAGCACGATTTTGGTTTTGCGTTAGCGTGTGCTGCTTTTTTGATTACTTTAGAGTACTGTTTGTTATTTTTGATACTTTTGAATTCTTTGATGTAACGCTTACAGACTAACTGAGAATAAAATTCCTCCATTATACTAATTAAGTAATTATTTCTTCTTCGTGGTTTATTTAACATTGGACTAACATGTTCTTAAAAAATTAAAATTAGCCAATTTTAATAAAATGTTAAAAACTGTTAGAATCTCCATTTGAATTAGATTTAAATCTTAAATATAGAAAGGCGGCTCTTTTTTACTTCATTTATTCTGATTGAGTAAATGAAGAGATCTTTAGATCTGATCTTTAGAGAGTATTATAACTCTCTAAATAATTTCCTTTTATCGAATAGGATTGCTTAGTATTTTAGTCCGACTTATTTTTATGCACCGAATGTGATTTTTCTACTGATGCTACGAACTTAAATAATTGCCATGCATATTTTCCCCTTTCTGTCTAAGCGTTGTTTATTAGACTCATTTAATATTTAGCGACAAACTTTTCTTCTGTTATGTTTCCTGAATCGTAAAGACAAAACTTAACACCTGAAGTTAATCTAAAAACTGTACCCTCCCCCAATCATAAATATTTCTCTTACCGGCAAAATCCTAGTATACGGTGCAGCCTTGGCGCGATTTTAAAAATTATCGCCAACACCAAAAATTACCAAAAGAACGTTCTATGTATATATAGTGATAGTACACTATAAACTATATACATAGTATACTATGTATAACTATATATATTTCTTTAAATACCCGTTTACTACTTATCCTATATGTCCCGTTTTTACTGCTCATCATAAAAGTCGCCAAAAAAGTAGCCAAATCCCGTGTGCACCGGATACTAGGATTAAATCCTCTTACCATTTTGGTGTTAATGTACGTAATTTGTTGCATGTTTTCAGAGATTATCAGACATTTCGACCAGGAAACATGAAACATTAACCGTGTCCTTCACGGGATTCAAACTACAGATCTTCCACTTGTAGCTGAACATGCTAACCACTTACACTGGAAAAGCACGAATGTAGAAATGCGATAATTCGATACTTTATCTTCTACTTAATCTACTAAATACGGTGGTGACGAGTTATGGTCCATCACATTTTAGTTCGGATGCCATAGTAGAGAATATTATAAATATTTCGGAGGATCAGGATCAGGAGAAATTAATAATGCCCTCACCAGGATTCAAACCATGGATCTTTCAGCCGTTAACTGGATGTAACACTAAGTAATAACCACTTAACACCCGGACAGCACGCACGAGTAAATTAGATAATTCTTTACACTTTGCTTCCTCTTCCAGTTTTTACTCGATGGCAAGTGTCTGATTCTCTCCAACCTTTGGTACGGCTCTTGATGTATACTCCAGGATTTAACATTTTTGTGAAGTCGCCCAGACGGAGCCTACTGCGGTACCCCGGGCTCGAATTCCGGCATGGTTGTAATTGTCCGTCCCTTCATAGGAGGTAACGGTTGCCCATCTATTAAGTGCTTCCAGAATAAAGTGGCCACCAATTCTGGCCTTAGTAGTGGCCAAGCCTAAGTCGGCTAAGCGCTCGCCAGTGGGGCAAAAAACATTTTTATAGTATATACATACATATATTGCGGATATTTTTATCAGTTCTAATTACTAGTTCTTTTTTAATTACTAGTTCTTTTTTATCATCTGATGCTTCTATGTAGAATAAAAGCTTAACCGAAGTTCTTCTGCGATGCATCATTTAGATGTTTTCTTAGTTCGGATTTTTCTTTCAAGTAACATTTAACTGACAAGCGCGTTCAATATGATTTTTTGATTACAGGACAGCATGTACCAAATAATTTTCATTTTCAGTACGGAAATATAAGCGTCCACCTGATACTTCTGACGAAAATGCATACTTCGGTCACGAATTCCAATAGAGAAACCGGAATAAAGATAAAAACCCATTTAAACAGATTTTAAGGCGACACTTCTTGCTACTTATTGGCCAGCCCTAAATTAACTGTACTGGTCTTGCTTTCAATGAAATGAAATGCTATTGGAATGACTAACTTACCAGACATATTTCTTATGCTTAGCAAACTTTATCATTATTGTATTTTATAAAGTTAAAGAAGCAGTTTATCAATTTTTACTAAATTTTTCAAAGTTTTAGTACTTAATTCAGAAGTCAAACAACAAAAATCAGCGTTTATACCTACAAAATTTTCACAGGACTAGTTTCGATGGTTTTACCGAACCACCATCTTCAGCTGCAAAACCGCAAATGAACAAGATAGGAAATAATGTATTATAATTTATTATAGGAAATAATTTATTTCCTATCTTGTTCATTTGCGGTTTTGCAGCTGAAGATGTGGTTCGGTAAAACCATCGAAACTAGTCCTGTGAAAATTTTGTAGGTATAACGCTGATTTTTGTTGTTTGACTTCTGAATTAGTATTTATTCGGCGTGTTATTGTGTCTTAATTTTAGTACTTATTTTCATTTCTGCAGCTTGGATGTACGTGTATCCTCCTTTCTTGCGAATCTAATATCGGTCTACCCCTTTCTTGCATTTTGGGCAACATTCTCGATGACGAAAAATCTAAATGACTGATGGATTCGGCCATTCCCGATAAATGGCTTCGAGCAATGTCCGACCATTGGAGGTGGGGGTGGGCGAGTAAAACTTTCATTTTAAATGCTTATTTAGAGATATAAAAGTTAAATACTACTAGGGGTATCAAAAGCTTTGCTTTCTGTTTTCAGTCCGATTCAGTTTTTAGTCCTATGGATAATTTATTCAAGAATGCTATGAATCTGCAATATTATGCTTCAATATCTTTTACATAATTGAAATTTTAGCATAAAGATTTCTTAGGTTTTACTACTTCTGTGCTAAAATTACTGAGATAAAATCTATATAGGCTTTAAATTAATTTCATAGTTCTTAAGTTCTAAATTTTCAAAACGCCTTTACTTCATTCCTTTAAAATAGGAATTTTCCGTCATAATTTAAGCACGTTTCATTCAGGTAGAACAGAATGATCAAAGAAATGCCAATTTTCTGGCAGTCTTAAGCAGCTAAAGTAACTAACATACAGTTAAGAAAGAAAATCAAGGTTCTTGGAATAATATACACACAATTTTATTTCTGTAAATGTAATAAGTATTCACAAATTTGGAATTTAATTTTCAGTTTAAGCTATGTGTTTTACATTCCTCCCTCTCCTATTATTAAGCAGAAAATGAATATACCTATACGGTTTTTTAATGAAATTTCTTTTACCATATAAAACAGAAGATTTACTTGTTAACGTTAAACGTTTTGGAATCATAATATTCAGAAAATTCATATCCTCTGTGGAGCATTCCTCCTGTACGTCTATGTTTAATCTCAAATGGAATACTCATTTATTCTCAGATTTATCAATAATTCGTAATGACATATTTCATACTTACCATGCGAACACTGACGTATGTTTTTGTACCAGGCTGCAGCACAACACCACCTCTCTGAAGTGTTGGATAAGTACCAGGAGGATGTACTAAGAGTCTCGCTCCGTATTCTGGAGATAATAGGTCTAAATACTCATTTCGCTGTATGTTGAGAGTTAGACGTAAACCTAAATAAGAAGAATTACTAACTGACAAAACATAGCTTGAATAAAATCATATTTTACGTGAATAAATCGAAAATCATATTTCATATGAATACGTCGAAGTTCGTATTGACAAAGTAGTCATTATTTCATTTCGAATTTGTTGGTATGAACAAAAAGTCATTACTTCAACCCTTGAATCAGTCTTAAGTTAGGCCAATTCTCATGCTGTTATAATATCAAATGGCACGTTTCCAGATCGCTTGCATATCATCTGTTCGCTACCTATTAATGTATTCGCAGGGAATTTACTGCATGTTTTTTAACTTTTTTTAGTGAATTCACTTCTAGCAATGAATAAATCTAACCCTAAATTAAAACCTCTATCATCTTAAATAATCGAGGAAGAAAAAAAGCGGTTATTATCGGCATTATAAAAGTTGACGCATTTGCGTTAAAATATATGTAAGATATATAAAACAATTATTGCATTTAAATTAATGCACATTTAAATTAACTGCACATAGTTTTTATTTCTTTATGTTAACTTAAACTAAATATAAAACAAGATATTATTGGAATATCCTTCTCAATCATTTAGTTACACTAGCACTTTTTATAATACTGACGAACTTATTCTGCGATATTCATTGTTAATAATTTATGTCTTTTATTTTTATGGTAATTAGATACTATTTTTAAAACGTAATTTTACTTTTACTTATTTTTAAGCAAGCTTTTCAAACAGTAGTGTTATCGTGCATAGTATTTTGAATATGTGTTCATGAAATTCTAAATTTTTATTGATATTTTCTTGAGAATGGAATATACTTAAAAAAAGAAATTTTACGTAGTGAAATTACTAATGTTTTTGCACTCAGCATGCTCGTAGTTAAGCAACTTTGTATAAATTCTATGTAATATTCGTTTATAAGGTATCAGATATGTACACATGTGATTTTGCGTAATATTCGTTTATAAGGCATCAGATATGTACAGATGTGATTCTGCGTAATATTCGTTTATAAGATATCAGATATATACAGATGTGTGGCAATATTTTCTGTTTATAAAAACCATAATTCTTTCGATAATTTTCTAAAAAGTACAAACTATTCTCTTTCAAGGCTAAAAGGTCCTAACTCTGAACCACATTCCTCCAAACATTGAAAAAAGTACATTTGAAGCAGTTTGATTAGAAACGGAATATTTTTAAAGTTCTAAAAATAAATTATCACATGTTGTACCGTTCGCTACTGTAAGTACATTTTAAAATCATTGTAACTAGATTTTAAAATTCATTTCAAGCGCCATTGTTTCAGGCACTTTGTATTAAAAATAACCGGTTTTATTCGTAGCTCCCCAAAAATGCTGTTTACATAATGAATATTATTCCTGATTGATATTTGCTGTTGTCGCCAGATTTATATGTTTATAGTACTTTATACTGAGACTGAGATGACTTTTAGTGATTAACATTAAGGAAGAAATTAATATATAATACCGTAATGAATCGCTTCCCAGTACTCACGATAACTGCTACTGTTTTCTGAATAAAAGAGTCCTGTTTTTTAAATGAACCAAATACCTGAGCATGTTACGGTTAGAGAAGAAGTGCTCTGTGAAATTAGTATTCTTATTGTCCCTTTTATCATTTCAAAAGAATGAATAAAATGGCATCATGTTGCTTTAATACCTACCTAGAGAAAGGCCAGGTCTTGTTACATTCTGAAGGGACATCTGGTTAACTGATATTGTGTGGCATAATCCGTACCGAGGAGAAGGATATGCATTCACTTGAACAATTGAATGCCTAAAGAAAAAAATACAGCATTTCAAAAATTTACAACAGCGGAAATATAATGTAGTTAGTCTGTTCTTTTGCATGAAAATGATTAAGTATGTAAATAATCATTATAAAATTAAACCGAAATGTTTACCCTCCCTTATTAGTCACAGGACATTTTGAGTATTCTTGAGAATTTAAACGAGTCTTTCAAGAAATACTCTGTATAATGATGCGTAATTCACGCAATATGAGGTTAAAAATACCGCAGCAGATACTTTACTTGAAGAGAGACATTTACAAGCATCTCATGTGTTGTTGCTACAAATGCTAAGAAATGAAAATTCGTTGGCATTTGTACGAAAAGCCATCTAATTAACCAAAACACTGACCATGCCTAAGCCCTGATTTAAAACGAAAAATGGAGTTAAACACTATATTAAGCGTCTAATAATATTCCTGGGCGCAGTATTCCTCCCAAACATCTCAGTAATAAATATATGTCCATTCAACCTCGATAATTTCTACACATGCATATGCTACTTTATATCTTAATGTGGCCGTGAATACGCAAATGACAAAGTAGCACGAAATCGGGTGCCTTATCTTCGCTGTTACTAGTTCGAAAATGAAAAGAAAGGAACGGAAAATATAGATACGCGAGAAGATCCTCTAGAAACGATGTAATGGGAGTATTATACGACAGATATAGCTCATGAGCTGAACAAATCTATTGTCAAAACGCATCTCAGATACTACAAGAAAATATATGCCAATCTCATAAATGTAGCAGAAGTAAATCTCCAACTACTACTTGGAAAAAAATCATATTTTGCTTCTTCCTTTCAGAAGATAGACCTGGTACTTTCACAGACGCTGCAGATATTGAACAGTGTATGTACACAACGACCCGTATCTCGATGAACGACTAGTAATAGGCTACACCATATGGGGTACGTCCAGTGCATGAGAAAGTGAAGGAACATGTTGACTTCATTCCAAGGGGAAAAAAAAGGTTTATTTTGTCTAATGAATAACTCTTTCCAGTTCTATAAGGAAATATCGGAAAACAGAGTCATCCGCCGAGCAAATGAAAAATCCATTCAAAGTTGCGCGAAGCAAGATTTTCCAGTCATTATGCATAAAACGCAAGTGTTTTACTTTTCTTGCTTTCAACGATTTTCTTTCATATGATGACACTATCATTGCACAGAAGTACCATAGAAGTTTGCGATAACATTCACTGTACTCAGTGACTCGACTTCGTCTATAGAAAGATCTGCTTTTCCCTAAATACTGTTTTGTCACGGCAGATACTGTTTGCTCTACCGCTTTTTAATTTTGTCAACATGATGTTCTGGAAGGGAATCCAAATTCATTTAATGTCAATCCCATCGAAGGTCTGTCGTAAACATTCTAGAAAGAGGTTATGGTTATGCGCCACTGACGAGGCTTCTGACTGTGAAAAGGCAGGTGAAACGTGCGCCGACATTACATGAGAAACTGGCCATGCCTACATGAAATCAATGCACATATGGATATGCCTCTGTCCACCCATGTATATCTTACACAAGGAAAACCTACGACATCATTAATATATGCGAAAGTTCGGTACATGAAATATATACCTTGTTAAGTTTGAGAGAAGTATCTAGAAAACAATGTTTGTGTTAAACCCCCTTTTTTTAAGTAGAGTATTTTGTTTATGGAATAAGTTTTCTTACAATTCTGAACAAGTCCTTTCTTGCGTTCATTACAGGATTGAGAGTAAATTTACAGCTATGGAGAAGGTATTTACAAGTACTGGGTTAGTAAATTTTGAATTAAATTTCATAATTTAGTTTAGTAAAATAGTTTTGCTAATATTTTGCCCTACAAAGGTGAAAATAGGATTTATAATACAGAAACATGTGTTTTTATTACAGAAAAATCTCTTCTTATTTTATTGAAAGCAAAAGCAATAATATAATTTGCAACACAAAGTGAAGGGAAATGAAGACTACAAAAAAAGTGCTTTACTGTCATGCATTCACAGTTAAGTTGATTCTTTATGCCTTTAGAGAAATTCATAAATCGAACTTCACAAAATGTTGAATGTTAGCAATTTTCGCGACATACAATAATCTACTTATCTCTCTATCTACATATACATTCTTTATCTAGACTGATAAAATTGCAAATACAATTGCAGCCAAATATCGATAGTACGCCATCCTTGGGATTGATAAAAATTAAATTATTTAGCGAGACGTCTTCTAAGGCGAAGTTAAAATAAAACTGAAATAATTTCTGCAGTTTTTTGTTAGATTTAAAATACAATCTAGAATCAAGAAGAATATATTTATTTTATTTTATTTTTAAACAGCTGTCCATTCAATTTTAGTTACATGTAGAATTAAAAATCAAATTATTTTTTTCCTCAATTCTGGGCAACATTTTAAGTGAGCAAAAATGTCATCTGTTTTTGCAGTCATGTATGAAATTCTTAAAAGGTTTGCGCAATCTTTTCTTAGTTGGTGTTTTCGAAAGCCCTTTTTTTAGGATCACCATCCAATTAAAAATTATTTACTTCTAAAACTTGAACTACCTGGGTGAACTTTAGTTTTGCATTTTTTTTTTTTGGTAAGAAATTGTAAATATCCATATTTTATAAATATTTTCCATTTAAATAACAAGCTAAATGGGTGATCACAAAATAACGTATTAAATAGAATTTTTCTTTGAATAAGGCTGGGCAAACGGAGAAAGTTGTATGAACGATTAATTGAGATATTTTGGGAATATGAAAAAATGACCTAGACTGATGTGTCATGCGGGTAACGGTTTAAACAGATTTGATTGTACAATGAAATTAAATAAAATGTTCATAAAGTCTGGAAACCTATTGCAACATTATGTCTGGAGTTTGTCTGAACCATAAAAGTTACGTTGGCTTTTTAGCTTTTCACACATCTCTCATTTTTCCTGCCCATTTTTCCCTTTAAGTAACCCTTCAAACTAAAAAGACCAGGGATGGCAAAAACTTCAGCACAGAATAAAATCGGAAGTTTTTTGTTGTCATAATTTCTTCAAAATAATGCGACAGTTGGAATTAAAAACTTTACTAGAATATTAGTTGCAGTTGAATTCTTGTAGCTCATTATAAGCTACCCACTACTGAATATGAAGAATCATACGATTGTTACACATTACGCAAATAATTTTGTTTTGAAGTAGTTGGTATTTCCTGACTTTTATGAAAATGCTGTCATTAATATCTAAGAGTCCATAAAAGACACAAAGCAATACTTTTTATTCTTAAGACAGATCAGACAAAAATGGCTCATATGTGCTCAGTATTCAAAATAATCCTGACTTAAAAATGTAGTTCACGAATTTCATGTAATCCTGCAGAAAATTCTCATTAATTTTAAAAATTAAAATTACTCTTTCATTGTTGCACTAATATTCTGGAATATTCAGCAGCAAATCAGAAAGCAGAATTTCGGTGATTGAAGTAAAATAAATCGAAACTTAAAATAAAAATCTGATCATGGAACATCGTTAAAGCTGAAAATTATCAGCTTGCAAAGCCCATGTTGTTCATAGATTGGAGAAGAATAGTTTCAGGCAGAATTAAATATAAAAATGAAAAAAAAAATCTTATTTTCGTTTCTTTAAAAAAGGAGAATTGACAGAACTGGGAAAGGACACTGTTGAGCTAAATGCACACAAGGTGATAAATGCACACCTGATTTCATATATGAAAAACATTGACACCAAAAATACATCCAACACTTTATTGATATATATAAATTTTAAAGCAAACAAATAACTACCAATAAGTACAAACATGTTTTTGTTTCATACACATAATTAATAATTTCATTTCTGCCAAAATATACAAGACTGAAAGAAAAACCCTTGAAAATAAAATTACATGTTGCATTTAAAATAAATATTAGCAGACGCTTGCTCCAAAAAATAAAGAATACACTAAAAAAACTTCTGTTGTCTTTGATAAATAAGGAAGTTTCTCTCTTTTGCTGCATGTCCGTTAGCTTTTGTTGTTGCTTCCAAACGTGGTGATGCAGACTGGACTAAGTTTCTAGTTGTAACTAAAGATACTTTGTCCCATTCTTTTTACAGAACGAGTTTCAAATTACTTTCTTGTTATTTTATGCTGTTTCACAGCCTTTTCGAGCATGGACCATAGATTTTTCAATGACACTGAAGTCTGGGGCCTAGGGAAGAGCTTACAATAATAAAGATACCACATTTTTCACATTATGCGCCGTATGTTTAAAGTCACTATCCTGGTGAAATAAGCCTAACTTATACCACTTATATCTTAAGCTTTCCTTTAGATTGCTTTTGAGTGTACCTAAATACAAATTCCCAATGTAGATTTATTTTATGCAGGGATTTCTCCAATGTCAAAAGTATAGTAATATAAAAAAATCTGAAAGGTCTCAGATTTTAAATTATGTCCAAAGGGGCGTTTTTTTAACGTTTTGTGTGTTACCTTTATTTATTTAAATATTTCGTTCTTTGCACTTAAACCATAAAATTCAGTTCAATAGCAATGTAGCAAAATAATTTTAAAATGAGCATATGTTTAGGATTTCCGATATACAGTTTCGCGCGCTGGAGATAAAAAGGTTTTTTTTTTCCCTCGTAGAGTGTTGCCATTGCTCGCTTTTAAATCGTTGAGTTTGCTACTCAGAAATTCGTTTAAGTTTTACAAAATATTAAATCGGTCATAAAACAAATTCCAAATTTCATATTTGACCTTCCACATGCCCATATTCGTAGGAGGATTACGTCATTCAAAATTCGATGGCTCTATGTACGTTGTTTTATCACAATGCGAGAAATATACATACATTTATGCAGATTTTTCATTATTTAATTTATTCAAACATAATGCAGGACTCTAACATTTGGTGGTTTGAAAAGTGAAACGAAAATTTATAGTGATTCAATGCAAAATCGCAAAACAAAAACAGTAGCCCTTCAGGGACAAAGCTTCTTTGGACTAATAATCATTTACTTTACATCTTTACATAGTCGACTACATAACTTTAAATAATACTTAAATAAATCATTTTTATGTATTTCATAATTAATTTTAAATGCCTCTATTTTATTCTAAATAAATTTTGAGAAGAGGTATATCGTCAAACTACCGATATAAATTTATTATACTTGTGATTGGCCAAGTGATGAAAAGTAGAAAATTTGCGTCTAAAATATGTAACAAAAATTATAGATAATTTTCATTAACTATATTAGCCCTAAAAATGCATCAAAAGTCATATTAACTTAATCACAAATGGAGGAACATATTTTGCAAAAATAAAAATGCATCAGATTAATATTACAGTACATTATTATATATTATATATTCATGTACCTTCAGCCGCGCAACAGGAATAGTGGTTAGTGACCCTGACTGCCATACCGAAGAGCCTGGGTTCGAATCCCGGAGAAGGGCATGGATGTTTGTAAATGTATAGTGTCTGTGCGGATGGGGTCACTCTAAATATGCGGTAAGACGAGATTCCTCTCGAGCCGTTGATAATTTTAAATAGTAGGGAAATAATAATAATAGTAGGGAAAGAGGCGTGGGAGACCATTGGATCCGTCCAACCGGGATGCTCTCTATCAAAACTGTGGGTGGAACTGAGCAAAGTCGTACTGTCACCTGTATGGTGTTCAAGGCTCTTGCCGACGTCAGGCACAATGTTGCACTCCTTGCCACGATGAATTTCGTGGGCTTGTTCTGAGGTTACTATCAGAAAAGGGAGACAAGTCACAACAACAACATACCTTCATATTTTATTACTTAGCTGTGATAAATTACTTTTTGCTAAGATTTCAAGTCTAGTTTTTGGAAAAGAAATTCCCTTTTCATTTCATAAAAACGTTGCATCTGTTTTAGAATTCATTCTGCTTACTCTATGAATGATGTTTTGAAAACTTACGAATATTCTTCTACAAGACGACTATTTTTTTTTTTTTGCTTCATCCTGACTGTTTCACATATGTGAGATATTCAGTGACAGAACTACTTGGACAACTACCGCTCTGCAATCGAGAACACTCCTAGTATAAATTATCGTCGATCTTTCTCTTTGTACACTATACGATACAACCATCGTTTCACAGATCCTACAGTTTTCATTTCATTATCATATTTCAAGTAGGTCCTCAGATATAGTGTTTGTGGTTATGGAGTGGAAAACCAAAAGCAACGTCGTGTACCACAATAAATTCCTACAGGAAAACGTGGCAGCCATAAGGTACTCCCCAATGGCGGGCACTAACCATTATAGGCACTGGCTACTACTAAGGTCGAACGCGGTATTATGGAGGCACGTAATAGGGGCCACCGTTGCATCTATGAAAGGACAGGTAATTTACATCCATGCCTTTTCCGGAATTCGAACCCGGGACCTTCGATACGGCAGTCAGAGTCACTAACCACTTTCGCGTTTGGCCGGGGGTAGCCATAAAGCAGATCTGTGATTTCTAACAAGGCCAGTGGACAGACAGTTAGGCTCATCTCAATACCCGAGTTCTATGACGTTATTTACAGAAACGGAAGAAATAAAGACGCAATTACGTTTAGTTACCCAAGACAGTAGTTGCTTTGGAGAAGAATATCAACCAGTGACGTCATACGCTAAAAGATTCTGGTCAGCTAAAGCAAATTTTGTAGTATAGTAACTTTGATTATGAGGCAGTTTACCTAAGAAAGTTCTCCGCGTAGATATCTTTTGCCATAAGCAGACAACCTCAGAGTAATTTGCTTTAATTTATTAAGTCTAATCCATACGGGATGTTTAAGCTTTTTAAAGACTATTCGTTGAACTCATTGGCATAATATTTAGGAATGTAATTTGTATTCAATGCTGCTGAAGTCTAATCAAACAACTTTGGAATCATGCATCATTTCAAATTACAGATCGTGTGAAGCCGATTTTTAACAGAAAATATTTGAATGGGACTATTCGCCGCCGGGCCGTTTCAATCGGGACGTTTTGCCGTCAAGACATATTTTTCTTTACACGACTGTATTATATCTTGCCGCATTATATTAAGTTGATTTAGTTTAATGATTCTGTTTAGATTAATAATTTAATTTAATAAACATTTTATATAAAATAATGTATAAGATGTTTTTGTGTAAAATTTTATACAAATACATCGTTACACATGACATATTAATTTTAAGAGAGTAATGTGCTGACAAGATTCCAAAGTAATTTCGTTTCTCATTCAGATTTCATAAAAATGTGAATTTCCTGCTTGTATGAGGGATTTCTCTGAACTAACTGATTAAAATTTCAAGAAATTTTGACGAATCATGTAAATATTGCAATAATTTTAAAATCGATAATATAACTTATATATTTATGTTATATTAGAGGTTTGGCCCCAGTTTTCTTTGATACTGACATAATTTTCCAAGTAAATATGTCTAATTTCTTTATATCTCATACTTGTAAACAATTATATACATTACGAGCAACCTTTATTAAGTATACAAAAGGTAAACAGAATTATTAAACCAAATAAATTTAATACAAGTATAATACGGAAAGATGTAACACAATTATGTAAAGAAAATATGCTTTGACGGCAAAACGGCCCGACGGCCACGGTGAAATAGCGACGGCGAAATGTCCTAGATGCGAAAATATTCATATTTCTCCCACTGAATAAAGGGCCCACGAGCGGCCGAGCGGTAAAGTCGCTGAACACTGGTAGTTCGGTCCGAGGTTCGAATCCCGCGAACGGGCTGGCTGCATGGGCGTTTTCGTGGTTTTCCCCATGTGTAACGTGTATACGAGCCAGTTTCCCTTAGAAAGTCCTCCACGAAAGGCATCCCTCCCCTTAGGCAGATAGCCCTCGTGTGCTTTGCCATAATTAAATACACCACCCACTGAATAAAGCTACTGTTGTATCATATCTTCGTACTGCCACCAGCTTTCACGTGGACTGTTTCAACTGTACTTTCACGTTTCAACTGTACTTGGCGTGTTCTTGTAAATGCAAACTTCTGTGTTTGAAATGAATAACTCCAATCTACTTTCCGAAATATAACCTTTGAAACTTATTTTAAATGGCAAATAGTTTCATGCTACAGCAAATAAAATGACACTGTGTTACATAATTTGCTTCCTTAAAATCTTAAGAAAGCAAGTTAGCAAATGGCTTTGATTGCCAATGAACCCCCCCCCCTTTTTTTTTTTTTTTCTTTCCAAAGTACTTCAAGAAATCCTGCGTATATTTTTGCAAAGAGCTAATTGAACTTCTCAACCTGTTTCATCTACATGCATCTTTAAACAAATTCCATCTTATCGAATAGAGCCAGTGCAGTCTCATCAGCTTCCCATATTACTATATATCTTTACCGCTAAAGCCGATTTTATCTGTTACTTTGCATTTATTGTTAATATACCCAAGCTAACAACATTTAGATTATTGTACACTGCTTCAATATTTAAGTCTACGGTTCTTAATTCGTGGCCTGTGGAACTACTGGTTCTCCGTGAAACCACTTCGAGTGTTCTGCGAAAAAATTATACACAGTTAAAAATTGCCGCAAAAGAAAAATCGGTGCAATGTAAAGTAAATTTTGTATGGGATTGTAAACATCAAACGCTAATGACAATTAAACCTTTTGTGTATCTTTTTCGTAAATACATTATTACTAGGAAAAATAACGTCATATACTAGACTAAGTGGTAAAGGAAAACCAAACAATTCTAAATAAGAACTCTTACATATGCAAACTATACGTATGTAAATATATGTATGCATTTTTGTAATAAAACAGTAAGGAAACTAACGTATTGTTATAACAGTTTCTGGCATTGTAAGTGCAGTGAATAATTAGTTCTTCTTCCTGATGACCAAACTTCTGCAGGCTGTCTTTGTTGACAGTGAGGCTCATCCAGATGTCGCTCAGATCAACAGTTTTACTCCGATACATAAATTCTTCGAACGGTTTGTAACAGATTGCAGTAGGGTCAATACCCGCAACACTGAGAGTGGCGTTGTAATAGAAAGCCTGTGTCACCTGCCGTAGAATCTCTAATTGTTTGTCAACATAGCTCTGTGGATAATATAAAAAAATAATAATAATAATAAAAGGACAGTTAGCATAAAATTCAAAATACGGCAATTTAATGTTTTTATTTATCAAAATTATCTTCACAAAATATGATTTATATGCAGACGAAGTATAAGTAGTTGCATAAAAAGAAAGAAATGGATGTCATTCGGTTTATGTATTTCAAGTAACAATTTTCCTTTGAAATTAAATATTAAGAAAAACACTGCAAGCAAGCGATATATTAACAGCATCTTCGGATCTAAGATTTAAGAGGAAAGAATTTTCTAATAATCTGTGTAATGTCAGTTTTAATCTTCCTTTCTTGACGCATTAAAATCAAACTTTGCAGGTTAGACTGTGCTTTGAATAGTTCTTCATAGCAGAAATGATAACATCGAAATTTGCTTTCTGCATTTATATTTTATAAGATATCACACTTAAACGAAATATAAAAATATTGAGCATGGCCTTTATAGACTTACTATTTAACTACTTAAATAACAAAGTATATTATTTACTGTCTAAGTAATTCTAGTTTATCACACATGTCTACTAATTAAAAAAATTAGTTGAATTCACATCCATCACATTTGCAGTCTTTCAGTTGGTATTGTAGTCTGCTGATTCAAAGATGAAAAGTTTGTGCAAGGTAAATAAAATGAAATCTGTAAACCAAAATATTAATCAAAAGTGTAATTATTAGTGATACAAATTAACACGAAGTTAAGAATATTAGCGATTAGATGCGAAGTATTGCTTATGAATATATAAGGTATTTCTCCCGCCTTCTTAGCATGCCTTGGTGGTGTAATGGTCAGCACACTCGTCGCTTTTTCAAGAGGTCCGTGGTTTGAGTCCCGGTGAGGACATTGCTCACTTTTCATCTCTCCTGCTTCAAAAATACCTCATGTCTCTACAAATATTTAAATATTTTAAACGAAAACTAACTCTTAAATAGAAGCTGGCGTTTATTTTAGCTAGTGTGAGCATTATTGGTGCTATTCTCAATGAATATTAGGAATTATACAACTCGAGTTTTGGTTTTCTAATGAAATGCTTTGAAAACGAAATTCTCTCCTGTAAAATACGAGTTCAAATAGTTTTGGTTTCTGACTTCTGTCCAAAAATTACGAAACTGATTCAGAATTTAGATGTAGCATTGGTTCAGGTGATTCAGGTTCTCTTCTTGAACACCATAGTGGTAGTTATTTTGAGTTTTACACAACCTATAAGGTTAATCACTTGGCTTTTATTGAAGTATTTTTCTGGCTAGTCACCAGAGAGCACCCTGATTCCTACAGTTAGTCCAATAATTTATATAAATAGCAGAGTTTATATTAAAGGATTGGTTACACTCTTAATTTATTGACACTTCTTAACACATTTTGTACTTTAATATATTTTTTATATATATACTACTGGGAAAGTTTTTTTAATTTCATCATGTGACGTGAAGTAAATGGAATTTTTGAAGAAGATAATACTATTTTAAAACTATTATTCTAGATGTAGATCTCAAGGAATTGCAGAATTGCTCAGAAGGATTATTTCCTTCAAGGGCACGCATATTTTTAAGAAACTTCTCATTGCTACTAAATTTACGAAACTGTGAATTTGCATTGAATTAAAGAAGGAAATTCGCTAAATTACTTACCTTTTTGTAGACATTTAAATTACATACAGTTATTGAAGGAAAAGTGATTTCATCTGCATGGATTTCTTCAGTAATGGTCATTCGTGGGTAACTGAGGTACGTTCTCACCAGAAAGAAACAATGAAATGTGCATCCCGTCATAGCTAAAAGAAAAACAGTCACCCAAAACACTCGGGTGTACATAGATCTAGCTGTGGCAGCTCTACGAAGGCCATGTGCTGAGCTCTGAATAGCGAATCTTCGGCATAAAGTACAAAAAGAGCTATTTTCCGGTACACGAGATAACTGGGCAGCATTCTGGTAGATATCATTGCTGGAAGACATTGGAGATTCTAAAACTGCTGATGAACTACCTTCAAAAAAAAAAAAAAAAAAAAAAGTGCTGATGACAGATACCTAAAACAAAAAAAAAAAAAAAAAAAAAATGCAAAACAAAAATGCAAAATATATGCAAAACAAGAATCACTTGGGGAAACTCTTAAGATTTGTTTAAAAAGGGGATCAAATTGCATTTTTAATCATGGGTCTTAACGAAAGTTTCTATTTAGCTTTAATTTGGACATTTTTTCTTGTGGACTTTCTTTTTCGCTCCCATTCTTAAAGAAAGAAAGGTTAACATATTACTATACAAATGAATGAATATACAAATATTTATTTTAAATTTAATTTATTAAATTAAATTTATTTTAAAGCTTATACGTTAAGCCTTTCAAAACTACTTTTGTCTCTCCGATAGTTAGGAACAGAATTGTGGCTGTTCTTGTTCTACGCCGTGAACCGGAAGTTTCTGTTTAAGACCCCGGAAGCTGATGTCTAAAGGTACAAATAACTGAAATAACTTTAAAATGAGAATTTTTCATTTGAATACTTTTGGTGATGTTCAAAAGATGAATCTTCTGTCTGTTATTAAGCGCTCGGGAACAACTAGTTTTGCAATTTAATTTTCTTATTTGTCAACATTTTCTTTTCCTTCTGTTTGTGTTTGCATTATATTAAACCTACTTTTTGAAAAGTATGTTTTACTTTCCTGTTTGAAACAAATTGTAACTTAAAATATTACTAGGGTAATTTTATGAAACTTTCCACAAGTATTCAATGAAATATTATTAATTAAATGGAATAAAAGTTTAGGTTTATATGCATATCTAAAATTTTTCAGACAATTTTCTAAAGGAAAAGAAACAAATTTCTCAAATATAGCTAGTGCATGCACTCAAAGAGGTATATTTAATAGACATTTTACTTTATCACTTAGATTTTAGTGCATTTAATTTCTTATACCTTAATAAATATAAGTGGCAAATATAAAAGTAAAATGTTGATAGTTATCTTTGTGGGAATCTAGTTAATCTTAAAATTTAACGCATTTTTAACCTAAAATGTAAGACAAAATCAAAAATTACACTTTGATATTATGTTTATTATTTTTTCTATCATTTTAAATAGTATTCTGCTAAATAACACCAATAATAGATTTATTTATACTGTTTTCTAAAATTTGGGTGTCGAACGTATTCGGATACCTTAAATTTAAGGTAAGTACTGTAAACAGATGTATGACTTCTAAAGCTAAAAGACAGTTGAAAAGTGAATAAAATTTATTATTATCACCAAAAATAAAACAAAATGCTTAAAGTTCCTCGGATATTCGTACAATATCCCAATATCTCACAGTGGTTATATTTTAAACTACTCAAAACTTTCAACAGAACTTAATTTAAAACAGAAACTCGTAAAGAAAGCTAATCCAATCTCCGCGAATTCGCTATAGTAAACAACAATAGTTTTCTGAAAAACTGAACTGAGATGTTTTCCTCCCGCTTTTTATAAGCATTTTAATCAGCAGGAGAATAGTCTGGTATTTTCTGGATTTTCCCCGAAAAGCAAAAGCGTACAATTACGAGATATCTATTTATTAAATGCACGTGCTCCTGTATTTTTAATTTTTCGGAGTAGCTTTCTCTTGAAATAAGTCTCGTTCTACATTGCACGGTAATATATAACAATTTTAATCATTTCTATTTAAAAATAGCTAAATCAATACAAAAACCGTAACACTGCCCCCTTCCCAAGGATTGCACGTCCCGGGCAGTACAATCCCTGGACAGGAAGCCAAACTTACAACTAAGGCATCAATGGAATAATAAACATTACATTACAATAACAAACAACATAAACAATAATTGCAATAGTAACTTAAAACAATTTAAATACTATCAAATACTAAATATAAGTCAAATCAAATACACATTTAGAAACAAAAAGGACCATGGTCTTACACTATTTACAATTATTTACACTACGTACTATGGCCATAGTAAGGAGCTAATCTGTCGTAATGAACGACTTTAGGTTTACAGCTCGATAACTTATGAATCCGAACACCGACGTTCAGCCTGTTTAGCACTGTATAAGGACCATCTCAAGGTGACTGCAGTTTCAGACAGAGTCCTTCCGTCGAGTCGGATTTCACAGCCACACCTTGTCTCTTTCGTTGTGTCGATGTCCAGTAGCTCTCGTGTCGTATCGAGTCTTCATCTTCTCCGTCGCCGAGCTGACTCGCTCTCGTGCAAAATTTTGCATCATTTCAAACAGGGCCTGGAGATCTTGGATGTATTCCTCAGGCGCATCTTGAGAGCGACCAAACAAGAGATCACAAGGCAGACGAAGGTCACGACCGATGAGCATTTGAGAGGGGGAATAGCCGGTAGTCTCGTGGACAGCACTGCGGAAGCCAGTAAAACTAAGCGGTAAAGCCAGTAAAAACAGTGGTAACTTCTTGTCCCAGTCCTGTTGGTTTCTAGAAACCACCAATGAGAGGTTATTATGGCTGGTTCGATTGAAACTCTCTATCATGCCGTCCGACTGGGGATGTAATGTCATCGTTTGGGTTTTGTCAATGCCGAGTAGCTTGCAGAGTTCTTTGATTACAGTCGAGGTAAAATTCTTTCCCCCATCGGAATGTAACTGAAGAGGCACTCCGAACCTGGAAATCCAGTGCTGTATCATTACCTCTGCTACTGTGATAGCCTCTTGATCAGGAATAGGATACAGGCCACTTTTGGTGAAGTAATCGATGACAACGAGGATATATTTGTTGCCATCAGCAGTCGTGGCAGAGGTCCTAAGATGTCAAAGGCGATACGCTCAAAAAGTGCTCCTACATTGTAACGTTGCAGCTTGCCTCGGCTGCGTTTCTTCGGTCCTTTCCGATTTGCACAGGCATCGCAAGATAGGCACCACTTTTGTACGTCATCCTTTGCATTATTTCAGTAAAAGCGCTCACGAAATCTCTGTAAGATCTTCATTATGCCAAAGTGACCTCCTGTAAAGCTGCTACGTAGTTCTTTAAGGATATTCGGGATTTCGGAAGTAGCAGCTGCCATTGGAATATCTTTCTATAATCCAACTCGAATTTCCGGTACAAGACGCCGTTTCGAATATGGAGTGAATCTCAGAGTGCCCAGTATTGTTTTGTTGTAGGAATATAAATCGAAATGTCCTGCCAGATAGGTTTTCGGTTTCATGCCTCCATTAAATCAATTATGGGCTTAATGTCACGATCTTCCAGCTGGTCTTTCCTGACCATCATCATTCCACGGGTCTCGATCAGCCGATGCTGATGTTGTAATTTGTTTTGCGACCGGACTCAGCAGCTCGTATTTCGCTTGACTCTGGAATAATATCGGCAGCTTTCTGGTCAAGGTCTTCTAGACAGGGCGTCGGCGTTTCCGTGTGATTATCCCTTCCGATAACAGATAGTGATATTCCTGGAGGTCCACCTGGCTATTTGGCAGTCGGGATTCTTGAAATTTAAAAGCCAGGCCAATAATATATGATCCGTGCGGAGCAGGAATATTCTGCCGTATAGATAATGATGGAAATGTTCTACGGCTTTGACTATGGCGACCAACTCTTTCCTGGTGACTCGGTAATTCCTCTCCGGTTTTGACAGGAACTTGCTCGAGCATGCCACTACACGTTTTTGGCCGTCTGTTTCTCGGGACAAAACAGCACCGAGACTTTCATTGCTAGCGTCCGTGTCGAGAATAAATGGTCTGTCGCGCTGAGGATACGTCAGGATTGGAGCAGATGTTAAAGCTTCCTTTAAGTTGTTAAATGCATCCTCGCATTCTTTTCTCCACAAGAACTTTTGCTTGCTCTTCAGCTTGTGAAAGGGTTTTGCGACGGAAGAAAAGTCCTTCACGAATCTCCTATAGTAGGTGCAAAGCCCTAGAAAGCTTCTCAGCTGATGGACATTTTCGGGACGTTTCCGGCTTTAACGGTTGTCACCTTTTCAAGATCCGTGCTACAATTTTGCTGTGATCGTGTGCATTTAATTTGTACTCTGCACAGAAGGCTCTAGCTCCCATTACAAATCTGTTTTATTTACCGCAGTTCAAACTGGCTCATTAATTATATTAATTGCCAGTATAATTCTCTTGTATCAGTATTTGGTAATATGTTTTTACGGAATGCATAAACAGTAGCATTTCTTATCAGAGCATTATGATTTAGTTTCCCTGTACTTTATTCTAAATTTTTATGTGTGGTAATTGGCTTACCAACGTGTTTTAATTAGGCAGTAATTAAACATAAATAGTAATACTATATTATTTTGTGTGTATCCCTCTGCATATTATTTATTCCGTGAATGTATAATAGTACTATTACAGCATTCTGGTCACCTTTTGATTATTCTATTTTATTAATTAGCATTAATTAATTTGTTGATCATTACATATTTCTTTCTTCGAATAAGAGCACTAGCGTTACTTAAAGTGCAAGTGTGTGTGAATTACGAGCAGAGTTAGTGTCACAGTGAAATTTTACTGCAGTTGAAGGGAATAAGTGATTATTAAGTGCTTGCAGTGATACGTGTGCAGCAATTAGTGCACAAAAAGTGCATTAGTGACTAGTGCTGATTAGAGTTAGTGTCACAGTGAAATTTTACTACAGTGAAAGTGAATAAGTGATTATTAAGTGCTTACAGTGATAAGTGTGCAAGTAATTAGTGCCACAAAGTGCATTAGTGACTAGTGCTGATTAGAGTTAGTGTCACAGTCAAATTCTTACTACAGTGAAAGTGAATAAGTGGTTATTAAGTGCTTACAGTGATACGTGTGCAAAGCAATTAGTGCACAAAAAGTGCATTACTGATTAGTGCTGATTTAGCACAAGTGCATTTACGTTCAGTGAGTGAATTTACGAGCAGAGTAAGTGTCACAGTGAAATTTTTACTACAGTGAAGTGTATAAGTGATCTTTAAGTGTAACAGTGATACCTGTGAAGCGACTTCTGTGTGTCTCTATGTGATTTTACTCTTTGCATCAAATTCAGTGCGCCATCTCAA